TACTGCTGCTGCTGCTGCTGCTGCTGTAGAAGTTGTTCTCGGCAACAGACGAGAGCGTGGGGCTGGAGCTGGGTGCGGGGCAGCTGGGCAAATTCGCCATGGTGGCAAACGATGTGGAGGGGTGGCTGCTGGAGGAGGCTGCATTACTGTTTGCGCAGAAGCTGCCTTGCATTGGCGCCACTGGCACGCTGCTCATTGCAGAAAAGGCAACTTTGGTGTTGGCTGTGTACAGAGCAGTCCGAGGATTTATTATTGCAGGGGACACCGTTATTTGCATATTACTGGAGCAGGAAGTCTGTCCGGCAATGGCAGAATCAGTAGGAAGAGACGAAGACACCAGGAGTTTGATGGGTGGACGAGCCACGTGGAAGACTGTGCTGGATGTTACAGTGGCAGCAGTACTCGTTTCTACTATTAATCCTGGCTGCTGAGCTGTTTTTATCACTCTGTCCAGAGTCGAAGCATGTACGACTTTGGTTCGAGGACCAAAGTTAATAGTAGATGTGGGCGAGCTGTTCTCAGGAGCCCCTGACAGCACTTGCAAGGGCTGGTGGGGAGAAGAGGCAGACATTACATCCACCACTGTATTTCCAAAGCTCTTTTCCATTTTTATGCTGCCCCTAGGTCCAGGAGAAACTTTATTTCTTTCTTCTAAAGATAAAAGAGAATGCATAGACGATGAAAGTAGCTTCATGTCTGCATTGCCACGGTCTGATTTATGCACTGAATTTAGCATCCGAATGGGGGTGATATGAGTAGAGGCTGCTGACATCATTTGCATTGGCAGAGCGTGGTGGCCGGACGGATTGGAGCCTGCATCGTTCTGCACTGGTAAGACCTGAGCCGTGGGTCTGGCAGAGCTCGAAGTGAAATGATTCAGTAACATCACTGGCTTCTCCTTTTCTGAACCGTCTAAGTGAATCTCTAAACCTAGGGACAGAAACATCTATAAATACAACTGCTTCGTTAGACAAAGCTGGGCGACAGAGGCACCCTCTTTGGTTGTTTCTGCTTACGTCTCTCGTTCTCCTCGGCGCTGTCCGAGCTCTCTTCCCTTGTCTGGATCCCCATGGGGCTGGAAGAAGAGCTGGAATACTCGGAAGAGCTGCCCTCCCGGGGCAGTGGGTGGGCTGGCTGATCCACATCCACTCGCAGCTCTGCAGATAAAGGGTGTGCGAGCAATCAGGGAATGCAAACAAGAGCAGTAACACCTACTTGACAAGACCTAATTACAACTGTTTCACGCCACCATCTAACACACAGCGAGCGATGCTCAAGATCTACAGAGATACGCATCGGCTAAGAAGCAGGAGTCTGGAGGCGTAACAGTCGCTGATGAGTGCAGCTAGCCATCCACATGGAAGCCATGAAGAAGAAACTACTTTTTATTGCACTCCATATACACAGGAATCGGACTTTTTGATTGCTCCCTATTAAGGCAATGGCATTTTGGAAGATAAAGCTTACGACAGGTTGGTGAAAAAGCAGGGTAAGAACGAGCTTGCCTTTGTGCAAGGACATATCCAGCCCTGAGAGCACAACAGGGTCCTCTGCCTCTCCTACTTACCTGCAGCATGGTTGCCACGAATACTCTGGATTGGCCCAACATGCGTCGTAGGGGGAACCCTTGCCACACCGCTGCTGGTAACCGAAGGTGGTGTCGTGGGGTTTAGGCACCGTTTCTCCGATTTTTCTCTATAGGGTGGTGGAGAAACATATTAAGAAACAGAAACTGGCTAAAGCACAACAACAGATAAATCAATTTCTGAATGAAACCAAAGCAGACAAAGCCCACTGAATAATCCACTAAATGTTATGCTAATTTCAAATGGAAACATTTGGAAATCACGTCAATCTTGACCACAGCTTCCTGCCAGCAGTTACATTTGGAATTTGACCATAGCTTCTTGCCAGCAGTTACATTTGGACTATTTGCCATCTGATTACAATACTAATGCTCTTATTTGTACAAGGTAAAACATCACCAAACGGCGACTAAATTCTATCACATTTTATGTAAGCGCATCCTAAACCCAGCCATCCGCACCAAAAGCAAAGAGAAGCCAAATGCAGTCCAAAGATTTCGTTTTGCAAACACGCTCTGGAAAGACTAAGACTGATAAAAAAATGCTGTCAAGGAGCTTTGATAAATGGGCATGGATTTGGATTTTTTAATTGCCCTTTAATTAACTGCAGTAGCTTCAGAATAAACATTTCCCTCTAAGTAGAGATATAAATAATAGGACAACCTCTTGCATCATTTTCCGCTAAGGGCTATTACTATTGCACAGAGCACTGGGCTTCTTTACATCACCTTCACCACATGAAGCTGTGCTCTTCCTGAGACCAGGGTTACCTGCAACAGCCCTGACTTTCAGAGGCTTGTCCCCATACAAAGTGAGAAGTCCAGATCCTGTATGGGTATCATCTGGCAGCCTGCAGCACAGCTCCAGCCGTCGGCAGAGGCCTTGGCCGCCCCGGCCGCCCCCAACGCGCACCC